AAAAAGAAATTATATTGACAGTAAATTGTTTATAACAGTAGCAATATTTGTTTCTTACCGATATATAATTTGTCTTGTAGAATTGATACATATGTATATAAACGTATGTAATAATTGTGATTTAGAATAGAAAACAGTTGAGAGTTTTGCAGTTATAGATCGTCAGTAGGATTTTTTTTTATTGCCGCTCAGCGTGCACCGTTATAGTTTCTTTATACTGAGGAGATGAAGGAGTGTTTGCAATCGCTATAATGCATATTGATATTTCTGAACGGATAAAACAATGGAGAACATTGAAAGCTCAGTTGCTTCTTTGGATTCCCCGTCATCTTCTTGTTCTGTTAGTTCAAATGACTCCAACTACTCCCTGTGTGCGGTGTCACCACCACCGGGCTGCTACTGGAATGTAGATAATAGTTGTGTTTCGTTTTCATTACCAATAAACCGAGGGAATGGAGGCCATCCATCAAGGTGTCGATGGCGTTTGCTTGTACCATGGTCATTTAAGTTCTCTAAAAATTATGTAAAAATTTGTACAGTATTTGGCTCATATTACAGGTTTGCTAATATTTTTTGTTTTTGTTTTTTTTTTATTGCTTCTAATTTTGAAACTTCTAACTAGGTATTTTATGTTAACAAATTAGTTTTTCTTCTTAGTTGGATAGTATTTGTCGTTTCATGTTGAAAGTCGTATACAGTTGGCTAATTTTATTTTATTTTATTTTTTTTTGTGTTTAGATTCATTTCTTCTACTTAAAAGTCTATAATTGTTCTAGGACTGGAAGTGTTAATTTTAGGTATACAGTAACTGCTAGCTCAGATGGCAGTAAATTACCTGGTCTGAGCAAAGATAAAGGGGAGGTTGCAGCAATTCGTGTTAAAGCACGATATCAGTCAGTTGAAATTTTACCTCTGCATATGTACGATGATTTGCTACGGTTCGTTAGGTGAGTGCCTGAGTTTATATCTTTTTTATATTCTTCTTCGATTCGAGATACAAAATTTCTTGTCTATGCTTCAATAACAACAAGATTTACAGTTAAGCTGCTTGTTTAGGTTTCGTTATTTGCCACTTTGTTTGGCACTTGAGCCTATATTGGGAGTTAAAGCCAAAGAAGACTTTGCGACGGCGCTGGTACGAATTATGCATGAACAGCGCATAGCAAAAGAATTCTTATGCGACGTAATCATGTCTGAAGTTGATGTTCTTGGTCA